GACAAGCAGTCACACACAGTATATATTTTAAATATATGATAATACACTCAGAGATATGTCAAGATTGTGAAAATCTTAAGATGAGTTGAAATTTTTTGGGGGAAAAAGTGCAGATAAGACAAAGTTAGTTTTCTTCTGCTTTCTGTCTTTCATTTTATTTGTGATTTTTTTGTATAGAATTAATTTTGTTTTTAAATGAAAATGAAKTAAGATCTTAAACTTGAAATAAGACAGACACAATTTAAATTTATTTATAATAAACCATAAACTGTAACTTTATTCTCAACCTGTTTATGCTTTTGACACGCCCACTCTTGTGACACGCCCACTTTGATTCCGCAGAAAACCCCTTCTCAAACGAGGGGTCTCAAACTCACTTTCACCAAGGTCTACATATTTGTGGATGCCCTTAAAGGTTTAGTTGTAATAAACTTTGGCATTTCGTGTTTAACTTTGACTAAAGAAATAAGGTCTATGTGGTATTATGTGAATAGAAACAGTGTTTCAATATGCTATAAACAATAAAGTATCTGGCGAAAATGCAGCAAAATGAAAATTTTGCCAGTTGCTGGCTACTTTTGAACCCTGTACACCTTCACTTAATGGTTGAAAGCTGTCATTTTGCGGGAAATAATAGACATACATTATGGGGGATGTAGTTTATTGTCAATGCTGGCTTTAAATCAGCCTAGGCTATGCTGATTTTAAAGACATGCATTTTTGAATATCTCATGGGCCACATAAAATGCCGTGGTGGGCCACACTTAGCCCGTGGGCCTTGATTTTGACACATGATCTAAACTGAATTAAGAGGAATTCCAAGAAACAGAAACATTAGAGAACAAAAGGGAAACTAAGTAAAATCTAAAACACAAAGCACCTCCAAGTAGCTACATGTTGTTACACGTGTGTCTGCGGCTCTGAGAGTAGGAATGCATACTTACTGCAGCCTCTGTTATGAAACAGTTCCTAGAAAACTTCTGGAGGTCAAAGGTGATTTTACTGTGATAACTTGAAC